CCTAGCTAAGATGTATATTTTCATCCGGAATATCACTATTTGCCTCAGACCTAACCATTAGTTTGCTCAAACCATGGATAAATCAGGCATTAAACTCTTGACATAATCATCATAGGGAAGAGAAGCCACCCACTCACACAGGAGGAGACGCTTCTGATTCCTAGATGAGTAGGTTTCATAGCTTTGCAATCAAGGTCACTTTCCTGCACCTTCACTGGTAAAAGGTGCTTTTGATCAAACAGAATTCTTTGAATTTTTGTACCTTTGTTCTCTTATAATGTGATGAGAATAAAAGAACATTATATGCTTCGTGAGTGGGTGACACTGATTAGAACTGCCTTCAGAGGAAAGTCTGAAACTAAAAAGAGCAGTGAGCTGGATAGGCTCTGGTGGGGTTAGTTTTCAGATAGCTGTCTGAGCACAAATCCACATGTTTTTGAGCCTCAACTGTTGCTATTGTCAAATATTCTCACCCTTTTTTGGATAATAACTTTTGACACTATTCTTTTTGAGGTTCTGCTGAAATAGCTCTCTCTTTTTCTCATATATATGTGTGTGTATATGTATCACATATATATAATATATACATATAAAACCTTTGTGTATAGGAGTTAGCATCATCATTTCTTGATTGCTTATGCTAATTGGGAAATATTAAAGTAAACTATGTCTGTTTTAATTAGAGTAGATGGTTTAAATGATTCCATTTCAAAGAAAACTTCACTCATTCTTATTTTTTAAATCAGCCCCTAAATGTTTCCACTCCTAACAGCAAAATAAATAAACGGACAAACAAACAGCTCTTTACTGAAACAATAGTAATATATTATCTTGCTCGGAGAAAAAAATGAGCTTTCAAATGTGGAGAAGGTCTAGGATGTTATCACCACTTTTAGAAATGTATATACATATCTGTTTTTTTAAACATAAATTTGAACTCAAGCAAATTTTCACTTGCTCAAATAAATTGATGAACTTCAAATAAGTTACCTATAATCGAAAATTTTATTATATGTATCACACTGTCTTCTAATTTTTGTTAAGCTACCCTATGTGGAACTGCCTGTAATTTTAATGAATCTATATGTAATATTTTGTATTCTGCATTTATGTACACATTTCCTTATATCAGCATAACTTTCATACTTATTATAGCAATAAAGCATCATATACATTTAACAGTGTAACATTCCATAGTGTTGAACTGATTCCCTTTTGTTGGGTTATGGTATTAATAATAGTAGTAATAACAGCTACCATTTATCAACTGTTTGCACAATTAGTGTCCTGTTAAGAACATCTCTTTACAATGTAGAGACCAAGCTTAGTTTCTTATATGGCAATGCCTAGACTTTAGAATTTGATATACTTAAGTCTCTACTACCTGTGTGATACTAGTCAAGAAAAAATTCTCTTGTTTCCTCACCTTCAATTTTCTCCTCTGAAAAAAAAAGAAAAGAAGAAGAATAGCTACTTAGAGGTTGTACCTGCCAGAGTCTGGCACATGGTAGATGTTCAAGATATGAGAGAAGTTTGTCAATGGTGACTACTTCTAAAGATGATTTAATAACCAAGTGTGTAAAATGAAGAGATTTGTACGATTTTGTGCATATTTCCAAATGGTGTTCCAGGATAATTAAGTGGTCAGGGTCACCAACAGTGTTCTAAATGTCCATTTTTTATGTATCAAATCCTCACCAACTTTACCTTTCCATCATTCTTTATTTATTCCTTAAGAAAATAATAGAGCCTGTTGTTCACCAAGCATTGATGAAGTCACTCTTTGACTCCAGGTTGCATCTTGCATGAAGGAGGTGCTGTCCATTCAGTAAGGATCAAAAGACTTGGGGGCAGTGTCCACTGCGAGGTCAGTGAATAGGCAGAAATGTAGGCCAAGTGTATGTGTGTGTGTGTGTGTGTGTGTGTGTGTGTGTGTGTTTCCATTGCCATGTCTGTCTTCCCCATGAGACCATAGTTTTTCCTCTTGATGTATCCTATCAATGCACTTGACCAAGATATAGCCTCCTGGGAAAGACACATGTAAATAAATAATAATACAGTATTAATCATAAAAATAGATTTAATGCGCAAAATCTTGTGGCTGTATATTTCTGCCTAAGGGATTAAGGATGGCTACAGAATTCCCTTCTGAATTAAATTCTTTTTCAAGTGAATACCGTCTTACCAGTTAAATAGAGAAGAGCCCAAAGTTAAAAGGTGTAGTCCACCTAGAGAAAATAAGGTGCAAAGTCAAATGTGACAGCATAGATGAGACCTACATGTCCGGCAGCCATTTTCCTACAGCTGTAATGATCGCGGTAGTTGATTGCTGTTAGAACAAGAGGGTGAGAAAGTAAGCAGGGCCAGAAAGAACATACGAAGCTGGTAAGTATCCTGGGCCTCCCATGTGACAGGCAGTATGCTGGATTTCTTATGCATATTTTGTCCTACAACTCTCAGAATAACCCTGTTGAAGAGGTGATGGGAATAAGACTTTGAATAGAAAGTAAGTTGTCCAAGGTCGTACAGCAAGAAAATAAGTGGAATTGATGTTCAGACCCAAGTCTTTGAGATCAGAACCCCTCTTCTCTTCACCAAGATGCAATTAAAGTTTAAATGGGAAACCACTTAAGTGTCATTCCATTTATTTGGGTGTAATTAACTTCTTTAAAGATAAATCTTTGGGATTTTATTCTATGTTGTCTCAAACTTCATCAAAAGCACAAAGCGGATGTGCTACAAAACATTATTTTAACTTTCTTTGATATCTTTCAAATGCAAATACTTCATCTTTGGTTTCCTTGTGTTATGTAGCAGATTCTTTTTTATATAGTCTTTGTGCTTTGTTTTGTTTTGCTTCATCACCTGTTTATCCATCCTTAGATATGGCCCACCATTTGCCCTTCTATGGGATAGACGGAGTGTCTTTTACCTGCTTAGGGTTTCTCCGTTTGCTCTTGTAATCTTCTTCTTCAGACCTTCAGCAAAAAAACAAAACAAAACAAAACTGGTTATCTAAGTTATCTGCCTTTCTTGAGGCGGGCACTTATGGGAAGAGAATCAGAGCCCTGGAGGTTTGATTTCCTTCATAAGAACTTCATTCTGCTATATTGAAAAATGACATCCTGGTAGCCAGATTTCTCCATCCATCCTCATTGGCCCAGCTTGTGTGCCAGATTGAGTGTGGCTGAATTTACCTTCCTTTCTGGTGCTTCCTCCAGGGAAGAACCCCACTGCCCCCAGAAAAACTCCTGCTATATTCTTAATATTGCATTGTCCATGGGTCTTTGTACAGAAGTGGATTCCCACCTCCTGCTTCCAATCTGCCCTGAAGCAGCCCCTTTCTCTAGTATCATCCCCTCCAAATTGAGAACTAACAGTTTTCTAGACCAGAAATCAGCCAATGATTTCTGTAAAGGGTCAAATAGTAAATATATTTTAGACTTTGCAAGTCATACTATTTTTTTCACAACCTCTCAACTCTACTGTTGTAGCATGAAAGTAACCAGAGACAATATGTACGTGAGTGGCTGTGGCTGTATTCTCATAAAACTTTATTTATAGACTCTGAAATTTGAATTTCAAATAATTTACACTTATATGATTCTTTTAACTTCCTCCAACGATTTAAATGTGCAAAAACCATTCTCAGCTCACGGGCTACCCCAAAACAGGCAGCAGGCTATGGTTTGCCAGGCCCTGCCCTACATAGGCAGGGTGCTGAGACGCTGTTCGTCTGCAGGGTAAATTAGGGTCTGACCATCAGAGTCTCCAGTCTGGCTGCTTCTCTACAGCATCTCCAATCCAAAGCAGCACTTCTTAGTTTCCTGTGATCATGAAGTTTCTACCTGGAGTCTTTAGTCATTTCAGTTTTCTCCTCTGTTGGGATCTGACCACAGGAAAGGTGCTTAGGTTTTGTTAGCCAGCTGATGGCCGACCTAGAAGTGAAAGGTGGATTTTTTCTTTTCTCCCTCTCTGGAAAATTTTTGTTATTTTACCTTTTGCTGTTCTTCAGAAACCTCTCCAATTGAACTAAATTAAACTGACTACTGACTAGTTTGTAATTCTTTGAATGATTATATTTGAACTGCGTTCACATGATTTTTATATGTTTCTTCCTACTTTTTCCTGAGATTGTGTTGCAAACAGGAAGACAAGTTTGGCAAGTAAGTGAAAGGACTGACAAAGCGAAAAGTGTGACTTGAGACAAAAGATATATGCCAATTCCTACTTCTGTTGTTGCTGTTACTCATTTATTTACTCAGCAAATATTAGTGTGTGCCAGGTACTGTATCCCAAAACAAGATCTCACTTTACATTTTGACATACAAAGATGAGTAGAATACAGTGCTTGTCTTCTAGGGAACTACAGGGGAAACAAAGATATGTCTTTATGTAATCCTCTTGGTATCTACTTTTTATATCGCAATTTACATGGAGTACAAGTAAGCATAGGAAAAAGTGTGTGCTTGGCACACTCCACATGATATGGAGAAGAAGCATAAGCTATAGAATAGGGACTTGGACCAACTGCCCTGCTCCTCTAAGCCTTAAATGTTGTAAAGTGAGGAGATTACCTACATTGCAGTTTTGTTGTCAAGACTAAATGAAATTTCATACAGAGATGTGCTATAAATGCTCAGCACATAGCCCCGCCCCCCCAAAAATTTACATCAGAGTATGTTAATTTTTTTGGTTTAGTTTGTTATTGATAAGTTTATAGCCTCCAGTAATGTGATACCAGTTTACTACTAAATTTATTACTTCCTAATTGCTACATAATCACTAAATGTATTACTTCTTTACTGACTGTACAGTGTGTTTCCACTGCTATATTACTCATAATATGGAAAACAGAGGTGTGTAAATTAAAGCTCTTTCATTGGATTGCTTGTCAGACTTTTTTTTTTTTTTTTAATGCTGCAGGTTGGAAAGCTGCTCTTGGGCAAATGGTATGAAATGGTGTTTACTGACTGTCATCTCTTTGTGTGCCTGTTTAGGTCTGAACAGTGATGGCGCTTGTTTCAGTTATGAGTCGCTCAGTGGACTGTGGATTGACTGAACTGTGCCCATTCCCATCATGATGTACACCACCAAGGCTCCTCACTAGTAAGTATTCTCTATTCAATATCATTTACATGGTTATATATTGAGGTCTTCAACACAGTATGCACTTACCTTGCAAGAAGTGTACAAAATACTTGCGTTTGTTTTGCTGTTATGAAATTGGCTAGACTTAGTCTATGTACCAACCAACTGCAAAAGGAAAAAATAGGTTTAGATGTATCTGTTATGTATATGTGTGCATATTGATATGGTAATATATATGTATCTAAATAGGCAGAGTTTAGAAGTGTAGAATTTTACCTCTCTTTTAACTGAATAAAAAGTTTCAGTGTCTTTTGGTTCTTTAATATCATATAAATCAGTGTAAGCCTGAAAATTTTACTTAGTTTAATATTGTGAAACAGTTCAATTTTATTGCAGTTTTATCTAACAGGGTATCTAATGCACTTTCACTTACACAAGTATCATACCGGTAATTGACATAGGTTGTTTATGGTGCCATTGAAAGGAAATTCTACTCAATTCCCTTAATTTTAGTTCCAGCTCCAACATTTATCATCTGACTAGTCCCTTAAATATCTAGGGCTCAGTTTCTTCATCTGCAAAGTGAGAGGAAGAATTTCTGCTTTACCTAATTCACAAGATTAAAGGACAAATAAGATAATGAATTGAAATTATTAACAGTAAAACCCCATAAAAATAGGTATCGTCTGTGGCTGACTATTATTACAAGTAGGGAGCTGGAAATAAAGTTGTGACCACAGTGTTCTTTTTAAATTGGTTAATAGAGTCTAACATTTTATTTGTTATTCACCTAAGAGATAAATGATAAAATTACACTTAACGTTAACTCATGGCCCCAATTATTTTTTGTGTTTCAGAAAGTTATGTTTAAATGAAATATGAAAAAACACATGTTTCTCACACACACTGCACACACAAATCCCCACCAACCGTAATAATTAGGTTTCTACTTCTGATCTCCAGGATGTTTACTCTATTATAGTTTATTTTTAGGTGTTTTATTCTTGGAGGAGACAAGATACACTAGATACTTATTATGTATCATTTAATTTCAGGATCCCAAGGGAGCAACATAGAAATTCGATCAAATATTACTCCTTCAGTTTAATGTATTAATTTTTTTGTTTACTGAAATCTCTTTAACACCTCATCTGACCATTCTCTTTAGCCAACAGAATACAGCTAGCCTGTTTAAAATAAAAGACTGTAAATGAAAATCTTGACAACTATATTTAGTAATATTGAGAAAGACTTTTCCACTAAAATTAAACAAATTATTACATAACCGAGTCAGTGCAATAAAACTGGTTTGGAAATTCTTTTCCAGAAATTAGTTATGATTACCATTGAAGAGGCCATGGTTTATTACACAAATAAAATTTTTACATATAAGTGAAACAAAAATCTTAAAAATAGGTAACATACATTCACTTGCTGATATTGTAGTGTAGTCCTTTAAGTATGGTGGTGGGGCCAGGGGTGGGGCAGGGAGTGGTAGAGTCAGATTGCCTGGGGTTACAACCCAGTTTCATCATTTTCCTGCTTTGCAGTGTTGAACAAGTCACTTAACCTCTCTGTGCCTTAGTGTGCTCATCTGTAAAATGGGTCTAATAATAAGAGTATTTATCCCATAGGGTTGTTGTGTGAATTACATGAGTTAATGTGGTCAAGCTCTTAGGAGCACTGTGTGACAGTAAGTAACCAATCAGCATTAGTGATTATTATTCACTGGATGAGCATGGGATTTTGGTGCTGACTATGTATTTTGGAATCAGAAAGTCCTAGGTTCAAAACCATTTATGAATTAATGGTGAAATCTAAAGTACTGACTGAACTTTTTGAAGCCTCGGTTTATGAGAAATAAAATGGAAATAATTACAATATACTCCATAATGCTTTTGTTAGGATGGTGGAACACAACATCTGGCAAGAAAGGGTAGGCTATCACCATTGGGAATTGTGAAGGTATAATTGCAAAGTACTATGTAATGCAATTATAAAGTAACGTAAATGAGAGATTCTCTGATTCTGAAAGTGTCTTTGCAATACGTTGTATTTAGGGGACTTTTAGAAATGTGTTCAATTATAGGATTTGCTTTGTTAGATCCAGAATTTCAAAAAAGACAATAATTTAAATCAAATTACAAACATAACAAATACGGCATCCTGATTTAAAAAATAAAGGTGACAAAAATCCATTGGCCTTTTTTAGACCTAACAGAGAACATCAGCTCATTATTTAATTTGTTAGGAAGATTGGGCTGTTACCACATTTAAAATGACTTTCTGGAAAGAAAAGGAAGAAGGAGGAAAGGAGATGGAAATGTAGAATATGTGTCACAAAACAATGGAGAGGGAAGGTTTGAACTTCCACTTTCATAACCCTAGGCTCTAAGACAGACTCTCTACTTGTTCTTGTTATGAAGAAATTTGAAGTATTGTCTTTTGGGTTTGTATTGGACAAAATTCAGTGGTTAGAATGGGTGGCATTTTTCGAATGAGTCATGATTTGTTTCCAAGGTGGAAAATACTGATAAGCTGGGGCCGTAATCCAAGAGTGGATTGTCTGGCTGCTATGTATCAGTCAGAACAGAAAGCTCAGTCTCTTTCTCTCACATGTTAATTATACACCATCTGAAACAATGGCGGTGTTGGGTCTGGTCCATCTCTGTATCCATCTAAATCAGCAGCCAGAGAGTCTTTTGCATGTAAATGGGATGTGACTTGTCTGTAACTCAGATTATAACATTATTGAATGCTTCTGTGCGCACTCCCTTTTATTCTTGTTGCTTATTTTTGCAATACCTTTAGCCTTTATAGAGTTTGTGCCTGACATGGAAAATCATGTTTCTGGAGGAGGCTTTTGAGCGTAAAGGTTTTGGAGGTGGATTCCTGGGTAGGAGCCCACAAACCATGGATGTGGTGTTAGGCTGGACTGCTGCTTTGCTGACCCTGCTCGGGGCCCTGGGTGAGAGATGACCATGGTGCTTATTCTGTCCTGCTTCTCCTGGGCCCTGCCTCATTCCATACTTGCAGTCCTTAAATGTGGCCAGCGTTCACATTTTGACCTCTCATATTAGGATTTAGGATGTAATGAAATGAAAAAGCAGGGTCATGATGTCGGAGCACAGTCGTACCGAGCAGATAGATGCTCATGTGTCCTTATTTCCATGAGCATTATGGATTTGTGATGTTAATCTTAAAAACTGTTCGTGACTTTAGATGTCTGACGTAGATGTCAGTCTAGTACTTCATAAAACAATATCTCTAAAAACTAGAGAGAAGTACCAGCGTTTGGAGGAGACCTCGGGTGTTCAGAACTGAAGCCTCCTGTAATTTGGAGATAGAGATAGATGAAGTGCCTGTATCAGTGGGACCTTAACAACAGGCACACTTTGTCAGGCCCTAAGTCTAAGCGTAGCATCATCGTGATAAAGGGGACAGTTTAAGCCTCCCGTCCACAGTTGTGAATGAGCGGGAGGTATTCGAGGACAAGCGGAAGATGAGTCCATTAAAGTTGAATGTCTGCTGCAGAGTCACCGGAAGTGGAATCAGATGAGTTGTGCGTGCTCTGGGGGGGCTTTCTGTGGCCCTCTCTTGTTTTCCTGCTGCAGATCCCCTCCACCTGTTTGCTGACCACCTGTTTGCTGACCAAGCCCTACCTAGAAGCACCCCAGCCTTACCTGTGTGACACCGCAAGCCTCCTGATGTTTGCAGATACTGCCCATCAGACTCTGATGCTTCCTTCCAAACTCATTTTACCTGCTCTGCCACGTGTGAAAACTTCCTTAATCCTCATAACATTGACTGTTGCCTCCTTTTCTTTAACCTCTGTACTGTATAGATGCCTCTTTGATAGAACACATTCACTTCTTTTGCAGTAATTGGTTGACATTTCTGTCTTTGTCTCTTTGGGCTGCTAAAACAGCACCATTAACTGAGTAGCTTATAAACAACAGAAATTTAATCACAATTCTAGAAACTGGGAAATCCAAGATCGAGTCACTGGCAGACTTTATGTATGGTAAGGACCGGTTTCCTAGAAAGCCATCTTTTTGCTGTGTCCACACCTGGTGGAAGTGGCAAAGGTGCTTTCTTGAGCCTCTTTTACGTTTCATAAGCGCACTGATCCCATTCACGAGAGCTCCGCACTCATCATCTAATAATCACCGCCCAGAGGCCCTGCCTCCAAATACTCTCACATTGGGCATTAGGATTTAACATGAATTTGGTGGGGCGTTCAGTCTATAGCAGTATCCATCTTTCCTGTTACATTCTTGGTTTATTGAGGGCACTCCTTGTCTTATTCAGTAAAATTGTTATTAATGTAAGTCAGTAAAAAGTATAAACAGAAAAATGAAAAGTGGCCACTTTCAGCATACCATGAAGGTTGTATCATTTAAACATTTTTAGCCAAAGGTAACAGGAATTTTGAAAATATATAACTCACCCTACTGACTTCCTTAGTAGTTTATCATTAAGCATATTGTTTTTAGAACAACATTTCAACAATGATGAGAATTATTTGACCTCACCTTGACTGAAGTTAGCATGATTTCCTCCATGTAAATTAATAAGACAACAAGAAAACAGTTCTTAGGGTTTTATATTATTATATTAATTGTATATAATACATTATTACATATATGTATATATATATATACACACATATATATTTCATGTTCATAGAAGGTGTCAACTACTAATTTTATTTGAGAGAGGAGGAATATATCAAGTGTAATCAAAGGTTCCTATAGGTTCAAGCTGTTTTTTAAAAAAACTTAGAGGGAAACATAACCAAATCCCCAAAACCCCTCTAAGTCAATAAACAAAACCTTTGTTATAGAGCCAACTGAAATTTTATCTGAAATTTATTTCGGTAACTGTATATCACTCAGAGGAGGACTTAAAATTGTTTAGGTTAAATATTCTTGAATAGTACTATCTTAACAGGAAAGCCCATTAAGTCCACCAAATCAGTATGGAAACACTCTGACTCTCATCTTTGTTACTTAGTG